TCCTGTTTTCGTCTCTCTCAGGTTCTGGTTCCGTCTGTACTGGTTCCCCCTCAAAGTCATGTATGCCACATGTGTGTCCAGCCTCCAGTCCGTCCCCCACATCCCCTTTTACTTCTTCTTCAATGCGCTTCTCTTCGCCCTGCTTCTCATGAACATCTACTGGTTCTTGGTGAGGACGCTGGTTTTGTCAAATGTTTTGTTCAAACCCTAAAAGTCTTTCATTTTTGGACACGCCGTCTGATTTCTTTGCATTTCCTGTTCTCCTCCCCTGTTGTGTGCAGTTCATTGTGATGTTTGTAGTGAAGCTGCTGAAAGTAAAGGAGGTGAACGATGTTAGGGAGTACGAGGACGAGGACAGCAGGAAGGAGCCTCCAGCAGAAAACAGCGCTGATGATGCTGGACATCACAACTCTGCACAGGGGTGAGCCCAACCTTCAGCATGTGCACTTTGGGTCATGTAATGTAGATCTTATTTTAGAGGAAACCAAAGCAGCTGTGCTGATGTTCAGTGGCAGAATTTCCACATTAATAATAAATTATTAGATTTAACACATTAGACTGTAAACGGTCCTGTTTGAGCGCTGCCTGACAGCACAAGACATCCAGACGTTACCAAAATACACATTTAATGATGAAACACATTTCTATAGCCAAGCCTTACTGGAATATGTCGAGTATACTAAACAAACAAACAAAACGACGAGCCCAAAGCCACGCGAGCAGCTCTTTGATGCTGTGCTTTGAGCTGACCGATTCATCAGCGAGAGGCTGAATCATCAGTGACAGCTTGAGTGGGAAGCAGACAGCAGAAAGCTATACAACATCGAAGCATCAGGTAAACTTGGCCTCAGAAAGATGACATCATATTTACAAGGCTAACGCCGGGACATTCAGGCTGGCGAGTGGATTGGAGCTAGCAGAGAAACTCAGTGGGTTCCCGTGTGACCGTGTGAAAGGAGAATTTGGGAAACTGGACATTAGACAGATTTCCCTTTATAATGCTGTTTGATGGGACACAAACACGCTACCCACTCAGTGGGATGCCAAACACTGCACTGATGTACAACACCAGTGGGAGGCAGCAATGCGCTAAGCTGTGAGACAAACAAACTGAGGACACTGGACGCTTAAATTGTTGTGGCTCTTAGTAGCCGTGCCCTAAAGAATTTCCTGCTGTTCCACTTTAAGTGGGAACAAAGAATAATGTTATACTAAGGAAGACTTGAGACTACAAGGTCATAAATCAAGTAAGATGTAGGATCATTTTCTGGTAGACTTAATAGACAATGCTCAGGAGATCGCCCCCTACTGGCCAATAGAAAGACTGCCACGCTGAAAGCTATGTTCCTCTCCTACATGCAGTTGACTGGAAATAATTAGGGAAAGAAAAGAATTAAGGTCAAAGTTCCTTCACAGTACTTCCCGTTAATGCTGGTAAAGGTGGTTCTGTCGGTCTGCATAGCGTCTATTAGCTGGATGCTAATGATCCATTGCAAACAGCATGTATGATTGCGTTAATCTTAGCATGCTAATGTTTAGCTAATTTAGCATGTTAGCAAGCTGACACTACAATTAGCGTTTAACGTAGCACTGCTAGCATTAAGGTAAGATGTGATGCTGTATATTTAAGCCTTTGTAGGCTACATTGTACAGCTGCTTAGACAAAGAGGAAGCTTTAATGCAGAGATAGTAAATTAATTTGACATTGTGGGACACCTGATGCTGGAGCAGTGACGCTCCGCTTTCTGTCAGTGTAAAGACATTTAGCTAAACATTTCAGTTTAAACAGTAGTCTCAGTTTTTCTACATGACCAATGTGTAAAGTTACAGAAAAGGTTCTGGTACCTCAAATTACATTTGTTTATAACTGAAATATTACATTTTAAAATCCCTTTCACAGCCCGTGACCGAATTTAAAACTAGTGATGTGCGGATTGATCCTGAAATATCGATTCCTCCGATACCAGTCATTTATGTTCTAGAATCGATTCTCACATTAAAATATCGATATTTTAGTAATTTAGGGTAAATTTGTAGTTTATCA